CGGGATTTTTTTTTTTGTTTTTGTGTGGTTTTGCTTCTCCGAAACGGACAGATGTTACGTCTGCAGCTCCTCCAGAGCGCCGCTGTNCTGGGTAACGTGAACCCAGAAGGCTCCATTTGTTAAATCCGCTGGATGAGTTTCTCCCAGCGGTTTCTAATTCTTCCGCAGTGGTTGAGCAGCGGACTGCGCATGTTACAGTCTAATTAACTTCTGCATCGTCATTTATTTCCTCAAGATAAACTGCCGGCTCCTCAAATGGATTAACACAACGTTGCATTCTCTTTAGTTTTCTCTGGTCTGTAATGGAGACTTGAATTTAACGCGCCATTTTAAACCAAAGGTTTGTAATGCGCTTCCTAACCAAACGCTCCAAAGCGTTATTTAACAATATGAGGTGTTTAATGTATTTTTATATATTTATGCTAGGGCTGTCCAAGTCTAGTTTTCCAGAGCTATTCTGCAACTTTAGATCCATTCCTTCTCTAACACACCTGGATCACTGACTCAATGTAAGCCTCTACAGAACTGAAAATGAGGGAAGTCAACCTTTTGTCTGGGATGTGTTTTAGCAGGGATGCATCTAAAAGTTGCAGTCTGGAGGACTGAACCTGGGCACTCCTGATTTGTACCGTCAATGTGGCCCATTGAGGGTTACAAATATGCTGAAGTGGCCCTCGGTGAAATTGAGTTTGACACCCCTGCTCAAAAGGTTGTGCAACAAAATAGTACCATCATTTTTGTTCAGGCCTGTTTCATTAGTTTATTTTTTTATTCTGTTGAAGTATATTTAAAAAGCAATGTTTGACTTTCATTTGCTCATTTTCACAGACTGTTTATTCATTATTACCGTTGTCAGATTCAAGTCATTTCTGTGACCATTGTGAATTTTTCTTTAACAGAGGGGTACCAACAATTTTGTATGGACAAAATTGACAAAATTGACTCTATAAGAAATCCCAGACGAAGATGTACTACTGAGATCCCTTAACATCTATGAAAAGCTGCTGGGGTTGTTTGACCAGTTTGCTGTTGCCAGCATTTTATTGTACGCTGTCAACAGCGTATAACAAAACGCTACAACTGCTGTCATCAGCAGCCAGGAAAGCAGGTTCAGTGGGAGACTGCTTCTTCTAAAATGCAATACCAACAGGCTGAGGAACTCCTTTGTCTCTTGTGTAATGAAACTGTTCAACTCTTCACTGGAGGTTAGAAGGAAGGCTAACAGGAGCACAACAAAAACAGTGGGACTA